TTTGTCAAAGATTAGCTGACCAAAAGTTTGTGGGTTTATTTCTGGGCTCGCTATTCTATTCCATTAATCTATATCTTTTTATTGTACAAATACCATGGATGACTCTTGTTCTGTAGTATTGTCTGAAGTCTGGGAGGGTTATTCCTCCGACTTTGTTCTTTTTTTTTTCAGTAATGCTTTGGTAACTCTGGGTCTTTTGTGATTTCACATAAATTTTAGGATTATTTGTTCTAATTTTGTGAAAAATGTCCTGGGTGATTTTGATAGAGATAACATAAAACCTATAGATTGCTTTGGGTAGTACGGCCATTTTAACAATATTCATTCTTCCAATCCAGGAACCTGGGAAATCTTTCCATTTCTTTAAGTCCTCTTTAATTTCCTTAGTCACTGTTTTGTACTCTCCACATAGAAGTCTTTCACTTCTTTGGTCAGATTTATTCCTAAGTATTTTATATTTTTGGATGCAATTTAAAAAGGGCTTATTCCTCTCGTGTTAAGAAAGGCCACTGATTGATTTATGTATGTTGATGCTGTATCCTGCTACCTAGCCGAATTCTCTTTATTAGCTCTAGTAGTTTTTGTGTGGAGCTTTTAGGGTTTTCTATATATAGTATCATGTCATCGGTATATAATGACAGTTTTACCTCTTCACTTCCAATTTGGATCCCTTTGATATCTTTGTGTTGTCTAATTGCTATGGCTAGGACTTCCAATATTATACTGAGTAGAAGTGGTGAGAGTGGACATCCTTGTCTTGTTCTAGATTTCAGTGGAAAGGCTTTCAGCTTTTCACGATAGAGTGTTATGATGGCTGTAGGTTTGTCATAAATAGCTTTTATTATGTTGAGATCTGTTCCCTTTATACCCACTTTGGTAAGATCATGGACGCAGTGCGGTCAGGGGGCTGGGACGATGGCAGCAGCGGTGGCAGTGGCGGCAGCCAGTCATTTGCTCTCATCTCCCCCTGTCCTGGCCTGGGGGCGGCCGCTGCTGTGACAGGTTCTCTGGACGCATGTCTTTAGGTCAGTCTGCTCTCAGGAGGCTGGTGGGTGTGGTCAGGGAGCAGGGGCAGCGGTGGTGGGAGTGGGGCAGCCCAGTGTGAGCCCTTGGGTTTACTCCCATCTATCTCCCCCTTGGCCTGGCCTGGGGGCAGCCTCTACTGCCCCAGGTTCCTGGGAAGCCTGTGTTTAGGTCATCCTGCTCCCTAGAGGCCTGTGCAGTTCAGTCAGGGAGCAGGGACAACGGCAGCAGAGGTAGCTGTGGAGGCGGGAGGAGGGGACTGCTCTGTGCGAGCCAGTGGATTTGGTCCCATCTGCCCCGTGGCCTGTCCTGGGGCAGCCTCTGCTGCCCCAGGTTCGCTGGAGGCACGTTCCTAGGTCAGCCTGCTCCCGGGAGGCGGGCGCGGTGGTCAGGGGGCTGCGGCGGTCACAGCGGGATGGGACTGCCCATCCCGGTGTGCCCACTGGATTTGTTCCCATCTCCCCCGCGGCCTGGCCTGGAGGCGGCATCTGCTTCCCCAGGTTCGTGGGACTCACGTCTCGCGGTTAGTATGCTCTCGGGAGAGGGGAGCGGTGCGGTCAGGGGTCTGGGGCGGCCGCGGCAGCGACGGGGGTAGAGGGGTCTGCCCGAGACGTTCCGGTCAACTTGTTCTCATTTCCCTCGCTGCCCAGCCTGGGGGCGGCCCCTACTGCCCCAGATTCGCAGGATGTAGGCTACAGATCAGCCTGTTTCGGGAGGCGAGCGAGGTGCAGTCAGTGTGCTGAGGCGGCGGCAGCGACAGCGGGGAATGGGAGCAAATCCGCGCGCTGGCCCGGGACGCCCCGGTCCCGCCGCCGCCGCCGCTCCCCCCAGGAGCAGGCTGACAGGGAAAAGTGCGTTCCTCCAGGCTGGGGAAGCAGAGGCTGTCCCCAGGCCCGGCCCAGGGGGAGATGGGAGCAAGTCGACTGGTTCTCCCGGGGCAGGCCCCCTCTCCCCGCCGCTGGCCTCGTCGCTGCCGCAGCTCCCGCAGCCCCCGCACCCTGACTACCCGTCCCTGCCTCCCAGGAGTAGGCTGATCGCGAGACGTGCGTCGCGAACTGGGACAGCAGAGGCCGCCTCCGAGACAGCCTGCGGGGGAGACTGAAGCAAATCGACAGGCTCGCAGAGGGCAGACCCCTCTCCCCGTGCTGTTGCGGCGCCGCCGCCTCCGCCGCTGCTGTCCCCTGACTACACCTCGCCCCTGGGCCATGCCCTGAGGGAGATGGGGGCAAGTCGACCAGCTAGCCAGGGGCAGTGCCCCTCTCCCCGCTGCTGCCCCAGGTTCCCGGGACACTTGTTTCCAGGTCAGTGGAGTCCAGGGAGGCGGGCGCGGTGCTGTCAGGGGGCAGCTGCTTCGAGGAAGGCGGACGTGGCTGCCGGCCGCAGGAGGCGGAGGGGGCTGCCCCCGGGGTGCAGGTCGACTTGCTCCTATCTCCCCCGTGGCCTGTCGCCGGGGCAGCCTGTGCTGCCCCAGTTTCCCTGGATGCCTGTCTTCATGTCAGCCTGCTCCTGGGAGGAGAGCACAGTGTGCTCAGGGGGCGGCGTGGGAGACAGGCAAGGACTTGCAGAGGATTGGGCTGTAGCCCAGGATAACTAACTCCTCTTTCTTTTGCTTCTTCATGTGGTGACTGTAGGTTCTTTTCCATTATAGATTATCAGGAAATACTGAAGGTAGGTCTCTGTGCTATGCAAAACAAACTTCTTAAAAAGATCTGTTTTTATATATAGTGGCTAACATTTGTAAATCTCAAACTCCCAAATTGATCCCTTCCCACCCCATTTCCCTGGTAACCATAATACGGTTACTGAGTCTGTGAGTCTTCTGTTTTGTAGATGAGTTCACAGTGTCCTTTTTGTTTTTTTTAGCTTTCACATATGAATGAAACCATGTGGTATTTTTCCCTTCTGTTTCTGGTTTGACTTCACTTAGAATGACAATCTGTAGGTCCATCCATGTTGCTGCAAATGGCATTATTTTATTCTTTTTTATGGCAGAGTAGTATTCCATTGTATAATATACCACAGCTTCTTTATCCAGTCATCTGTTGCTTCATTTAGGTTGCTTCCATGTCTTGGCTATTGTATAATAGTGGTGCTATGAACATTGGGGTGCAGGTATCTTTTTGCGTTAGAGTTCCCTCCCGATATATACCCTGAAGTGGGATTGCTGGATCATAGGGTAATTCTATTTTTAGTTTTTTGAGGAATTTCCCTGTTGTTTTTCATAATGGCTACAGCAAACTGCATTCCCTCCAGCAGTGTAGGAGGGTTCCCTTTTCTCCACACCCTCTCCAGCATTTATTACTCATAAGCTTCTGAATGATGTCATTCTGACTGGTGTGAAGTGATACCTCATTGTGGTTTTGATTTGTGTTTCTCTGATAGTGATATGGAGTATTTTTTTGTATGCCTATTGGCCATTTGTATGTCTTCATTGGAAAGTTGCTTGTTTAGGTCCTTTGCCCATTTTTCACTGGGTTGTATTTTTGTTATTAAGTTGTTTGTGCTGTTTACGCATTTTGGAAGTTAAGCCTTTGTCAGTCAAATCATTTCCAAATATTTTCTCTCATTCCATACACTGTCTTTTTGTTTTGCTTACGGTTTCGTTTGCTGTCTAAATGTTCATTAATTTAATTGGTTCCATTTGTGGGGTTTTTTTTTTTTTGCTGTTATTTCCATTTCCTGGGTAGATTGTTGTAGGAGAACATTGCTAAGGTTTATGTAAGATAATATTTTGCCGATATTTTCTTATAGGGAATTTATCATGTCTTGTTTTATATTTAAGTCTTTAAGCCGTTTTGAGTTTATTTTTGTGTATGGGACGAGAGAGTGTTCTAACGTCACTGATTTACAGGCTGCTATCCAGTTTATCCAACACCACTTGCTGAAGAGAAGACTGTCTTTTCTCTATTGTATATTTTTGTCTCCTTTGTTGAAGATTAATTGACAATCATAGGTCTTTGGATTTATTTCTGGGCTCTCTATTCTGTTCCATTAATGCATATGTCTGTTTTTATGCCAGTACCCTCTTGTTTCGATGACTGTAGCTCTGTTATATTATCTGAAGTCTGGGGAAGTTATTCCTCCAGCTTCATTCTTTTTCTTCAGTAATACTTTGGCAATTCTGAGTCTTTTGTGATTCCATATACATCTTAGGATGGTTAATTCCAGTTCTGTAAAAAATGTCGTGGGTAATTTGATACGGATTACATTAAATCTGTAGATTGCCTTGGGCAGAATGTCCATTTTAACAATATTGATTCTTACAATCCAAGAGCATGGGATATCTTTCCATTTTTTAAAATCTTGTTTAATTTCCTTAATCACAGTTTTGTATTTCTCCACATATAAGTCGTCTTTCACTTCATTGGTCAGATTTATTCCTAAGTATTTTATTGTTTTGCATAGAATTTTAAAAGGGATTGTTTCTTTACTTTCTTTTCCTGTTTATTCATCATTAGTGTTAAGAAACACAACTGATTTTTGTATGTTAATCTTACATGCTGCTACTTTGCTGAATTCTTTTATTAGCTCTTGTAGTTTTTTGGTGGAACTTTAAGGGTTTTTTATATATAGTATCACGTTGTCTGCATTCAATGACAGTTTTACCTCTTTTTTTCCAATTTGGATCCCTTTTACTTATTTTTCTTGCCTGATTATTGTGGCAAGGACTTCCAAGACTACGTTGAATATAGTGGTAAGAGTGGGCATCCTTGTGTTGTTCCAGATTTTAGTGGGAATGCTTTCAGTTTTTCAATGTTGAGTACTGTGCTGGCTGTAGGTTTGTCATAAATAGCTCTTAGTATGTTGAGATATGTTCCCTTTCTACCCACTTCAGTAAGAGTTTTTTTTTTTTATCATAAATGGGTGTTGAATTTTGTCAAATGGTTTTTCTGCATCTATTGAGATGATGATGTGATTTTTCTCCTTTTTTTGTGTGGATGTGGTGTACCACATTCATTAATTTGCATATATTGAACCATCCTTGTGTCCCTGGGATGAATCCAACTTGATATGGCAAATGATCTTTTTTATGTGCTGTTGGATTATATTTGCTAGTATTTTGTTTAGGATTTTTCCATCTATGTTCATCAGTGATACTGGCCTGTAATTTTCTTTTTTGGTACTGTGGGCAGGAGCAGGAGCAGCCTTAGAAAGGTTTAGGTGCTTGGAATAATTTGGGAAGCCTCACTCCTGACTTACCGTCCAGTACATGAGTGATGCCTTTGTAGTGTGATGAGCATCACTGAATTTTTCTCAGTGATGTGACTTTTTCCCTTTTTTTGGTCATATAAAAGTCAGATGCTAACATGCAAGAAGTTGAAAAATTCATAGCTGGTAAAATAATCTCCTGGAAGAGAGAGCATTTGAAAATGTGGATGAAGTAAATGAAAGTGTCAGCTCTTGCTGTTTCGCATGAAAGTTCTATTGTTTTTCCTGTGATGATATTAACTAACGTATATTTTTATTTTGTAGCCTGTGTGCACTGAGGATATTGGGATGATTCTTTCTTTCCAAAGCACCCTAGCTCTGTATCAGTGTTAGTGCTTGCTGTCTCTGTAGCTCTCAATTTGTATACTTGATTGCATCCTTTTTCTAGATTGTCTGCTTTCTCTCTTGATTTTTCAAATGTGCAGACTTCACCGTCTGTATTTACCTGATTGGTATACATAGTAGATGATTAAGTTAAGTAATGAATAACTGAGTAACATAATAGCTATCAGGTTTTTAGACAATATATTCTTACTTCAAAAAGATCTAATTTTAAGAGCTATGTGCCTAATCTTTCATAAGATATGTGATACTTAATAGGGAGCTTTCATTAATTTAAAAGAAATTTTTGGCTCACTGAAACCTTTTCCAGCTTACACATTTTGAGAGTTCATCATACTTGTGCTGATGACCATTGAATATTGAGAAGAACGCAGGGGGAGGGTGTAGCTCAGTGGTAGAGCACAGGCATAGCACGCACAAGGTCCTGGGTGCAATCCCCAGTACCGCCATTAAAAATACAGAAATAAATAAACCTAATCCCCCCCAAATAAAAAAAATACAAAGAATATAAACAGCAGCATAGAAAGGAAAGGAAGTATGTTTAAAATATAGAGAAGGCAACATCTAATCTTTAGATCATATTGAAAGTTTTATTTAAATTATTATTTCCTAATAGATGGCTGTACATTCCCATTTACATAACATCAGCTTTTGGGTTTGTGAGTTCATTCAAATTTACATTCAAACATTACATGTTCTACAGTTGTGGCTGAGAACTATAATCAAAGAAGAAGTAAAGCTTTTCCACTGAAATAGTTATTGGAGGAATTGATGATTCCTGTGACTCTCATTTGAAGTTAATAAGTCATAGGGACATATTTTCAAAGTCTTAAACTCCAAATCACCTGGCTAAGCCACAAAGCTGAAACAGCCAACTGAATGCCTGGGGCTGGCTGAGGCATGGCTGGGAAGTCACTCTACAGAGGACTTGCTCCTGACTCTGTGCTGTCTCAGGATTGCGGCGGCAGGGATGGAGTGTCTGACCAGGGCTGAAGCAGACGTTGTGTTGCTGGTGGACGGATCGTGGAGCCTCAGCTGGGCAAACTTCAGAACTGTGCGGAGTCTCATTTCTCACATTGTGGAAGTTTGCGATTGGCCCCAAAAGGGTGCAGGTTGGTAGGTCTGACACTATTGAAGACGTTTAGACATTTCCATCATGCTCTTTGATATATGCTAACGCCAATAGTGTCTTTTTAGCTCAGTATAGTGGGGACCCCAGAACAGAGTGGCAGTTAAACGCTCACAGAGACAAGAAGAGCTTGTTGCAATCCATGGTGAACTTACTTTACAAAGGCGCAGTACCCTCACAGGTGAGACAGAGTGGTCTGGCGTGCTTGGAGCTCTTGCTTTTGGTCAAAGCTTGTGGCTGAATAATAGTGTGCCAGATGCTCTTTTAAAAATTCCACTAGGCATGGCTTTGAACTTTATTTGCTAATAGAGCTTCAAGACCCAAGCTGGCATGAGGCCTCGAGCTCAAAAAATTGGTGTTTTCATCAGCGATGGAAAAACCCCAAGATGATGTTGAGGCAAAGAAACTCAAGGATGAAGGCATGGAGCTGTTTGCTATTGGTTAAGCACTGAAAAGGCTGGCTCTGCCCCCAGGGCTTACAAGTGTGCTGAGGATCATTTTGTAGTTTAAAATATTTTCTGAAGCATGGACAAACAGGCAAACACATTTTCCTTATGATATGATATAATTTATCAAAATGCTGTGCCAGGAGGTTAATTCATTTTCTTCTTTTCGCCTTGTAATGGGCTGAGACTGGCTTCTTGGAAGAGAGTAATGGGTCAAGAGGACAAATGTATGATTAAGAAGATTCAGGAAACTTTCTGTTTAACTTCCCACAGAACTGAGTTTATTTTTGATCCGTTATTTTACTTTCCAGAAAAAAACACTTGAGAGACACTTCTTGGTGGGAAATTGGTGTTAGAAGCACTTAGGAGAATCTAAACAAAATAGCCTTTGGTTAACATCTTTTTGTTTCTGTTTTATAGTTAGAGATATTAATCACTTTATTATCCAGGAAAATCATATATGTGTTCTAGTTAACATTGAATATATAGGGGTGGCCCGTGAAATATTGGCTTCTATTCTGTTGATTTTTTTTCTGAGACGTGTTTTTTATTTGTATACATTCATTTTTCCCAAGATATTAAAAATGCTGACAAAGCTGAGTTAAAGATGATTGCAGCAGATCCTGATGGTACCCACGCATACAGTGTGGCAGATTTTGAGTCCTCTCCAGGATCCTGGATGACCTCACCATCAACTTGTGGGGAGATCCCGGTGAGAGTAAAATCCACACAATTTGGGTGTCTGAGCAGTTTGGTCCAGATAGTTCTTTCTTGGATGGAGGGAGTGGTTTCTTTCATGCATTGCGAGTTGTTTAGCAGCATCGCTGGAGTCTGCCCACTGAATTCGTAGCACCCCCTGAGTCTTAATAATTAAAAAAGTCTTCAGAATTTGCCACACGTCTGCTGGGGAGAATACTGCCCTCAGTTGAGAAACATTGGTTTAATCCTTGCCTTTTTTCTTTTTTGTTTTTTTTTCTGATGGCATCAAACTGTAAATGACTTCTAGCTTATTTGAAGGTACATTTTGTTTATATATGCCTGGGCCCCCCCCACACACACAGGGAAAGAGAGATGCTTTCTTTCCTGGTGTGCATCTACTTTCTGGTAAAGCACCTTCACTCTATATAGCTAGGAAGTTACTTTTAAACGGTTGTTCCCAGATAACATTTTGCAAAGTTTGCTCCCTTTTGTTTCTGATTAGGAATGAAAGAGGGGTCTTATATATGGTGTGCTTTGCCCCAACTACTGATGACCTCATTTGATACTTTGCACTTGTAACCCCTAAATATAAAGACAAATTACAGTTGTAGAGCTTGGACTTTTAGAAAGGACGTTATCTCTCTCTGTCAGTGAAGAAACAGATTTAGAGCAGTTAAATTACTCAGGGCCAAATGGTTAAAGATGTTTGTAGAGATCCTTGAAAAAAGGTAGCTATTGATAAGGAATTAAGATTGAGATAAAATGATAGAAGTGAATCTGTAGTGACAAAGAGTGGTGCAAAATAATGACTGTAAATCATTGAAGAAAACATGGTAAGTACCAAATTGAAGGGTTTTGGAAAATTAATGATAAAACTCATGGCTCTTCTTATAAGAGAAAAATTTCTTTTAAAAACATGTAGATTATGATAAACACTGTCTTTCACTAATATATTCTGGTTTTGACAATTTGAAATGAGTTTAACAAAGTGGCAGAAATGAGTTACGTGCTTTGGGTACTGAGGATACATTAATTTGAATGTTCCTTGTATTTCTCGCTGCAAAACATTACAGATTTTCTTTTTGGAATTTGAACAATAGACTTACCTTTTCCCTGGAGAAACAGACCAGCCAAGAAGCCAGATACTGTAGGTTTCTGGTTCTGGATTAGCTGAGAGATTTGTAGTTTTATAAGTTGGAGAGAATTTTGAGTGGAGGTGAAAACATCTTTAATCTGTTTTTCTGTATTTTTTTAAAATATCCACTGTGTAATAGTTGCATTCATTTAGTTTCCCAGACAATAAAATTGCTTGATAATTTTGAACAATAAAGGTTAGGATACTAAGAATGGAGATGCTTTTTCCCAGCTTTGGCTTACAAAGAAAGCATTAGGGGTGTATTGAGAATGAACTGCCATGCTCATGGAGTCATTGGGTTAGTTCTTCTATAATTATTATCTGGGACATCTTTCTAATGGTCATATTGAGCTGAATGTTTCTATTTTTTGTTAATATTTATGCAAAATATTTTTCTATATTAGGCATTTCACCTATACTGGTTTCCACAGAGAAAACAGTCACAGGCAGTGGAATCTTCCTAAGTTTTAGAAAATTTAGCTGTTCTTCCTCTCTTGAATGAGAAAGCGATTAGCTGCTTTTATCACTCAATTAGATCCTGTCAGGGAACAAGACTCAACTAAGAAACTAGTTCTGTCCTCGCAGAGCGTAACTTACAGTTAAGGGGATCAGACGTGAATATAAATAATCAAAATGATAATGAGGGCAGTGAACTTGGGTGGTGCCAACAGTGATAGAGGCAGTGGGATTGTCAGGACCCCAGTTGTCATTTATTGATGCATGTACCAGGTTAGAGAGAGGAGAAGGTATTCAAGGATGATTCAGAGGTTTTGAGTTCCAGGTGACTGATAAACTTGTGGTGCCATCCGGAAGAGGGGGAGCAGGTTTTAATGAGAGACAGTGAGTGCAGGGTTGAGTCTTCTGAGGCTGGGGAACCTTCTGACCATCCATTCAGAGAGGACGTCTGGGCACTGGGCCTCTAAACTGACTTACTGTGACTGCTTAGTATGTGAAAGAGTGTGTGTAAAAGCTTGAAATAGGGAGAGGAAAATCATTTCAACCTAATTTATTTATTATTATTTTTTAAGCATGAGTTAAAAAATTGTTTTATTATTTTGGATTTTTTGGGGGGTAATTAGGTTTGTTTATTTGTTTGTTTTAATGGAGATCCTGGGGCTGGAACCCAGGACTTCGTACATGCTAAGCACATGCTCTACCACTGAGCTATACCCTCCCCACTGTTTCACCCTGATTTAAATGTCATCACCTTGCTTAACAATGCAAAAAGCGTCTGCACTTTATTTCCGCGAGTAGGTGACTTGAAAGCACCTTCTAACCTAGTCATTGCTGAGCAAACCCATCGTCTTTGAGAGTGAGCTGGATACCTCCTTCTGACAGCATGGACAGGTACGAAGTGGAGTCCTACCCAGGTTCTGAAGGGAAACGGCAAGAAGTGAGTGGACGCCCCCTACAGCCCCTCCTTCCCGGTCCAGAGATCGGGTCCTCTTCCTTAGGACTCCAAGAACAGTGCTGGGTGAGGAGCAAGAGGGATGGAGAGGGGGCCGAACTGAGTTGAGGGTGCTTTCCATTTCTTGCTAGGCAGGCACTTCTATTTGGGCTTCATTAGTGGGAAAGAGCTTGGCTTAAATTCTTGAAATTTCTAAAGATTGCAGAACAGCAATGCAATTTTTAATTAAAATTTTATTAGAGGATGCTTAATTTATTCATGTGTTTATACAAGAGTCATAAGGAAGAGAACATTGAAGATGATCTAGTTTTACTGATACATTTTACACATAAGGAAACAGAACAGCAGCTGGGAGAATAAATTGTGTGAAATGTCCAAGATCTCACTGTAATCTGGTGGTTACCAAAAACAAAAGACAAGGGCCTCATTAAAATCTAATTTCTAAGCTCATTGCAGTAACTACTACAATGCGATTATAGTAGAAAAGAGGGAAGTGATGATAACATAAGTTGCTTCTACTTTTTAACTTTGCCCTAGTTTTACGTGAGCCGGTTGGAAAGCAGCGCAGTCCTGACATGTGAAGCCCGACACCAAGTGTCGTGTTGACGTGTCTTCAGTGGTAGAGGATGAACATAGTGAAGCTCTGAAAGGCACAGAGAAAACCTATAAGTCTGATTTTTTTTTTTAAGATCCCGTTTTATTTTTCAAGATAAAGTCATGACAGCCCATGTGGGATTTTTTTGGTCAGTCTTCTGAAGCATTCCTTTATTCAGTATCCAGTCAGTGCACATTTACTGAGTTTGCTGTTCATGCTCAATAAATGTGGTTTTCTGCTTTTAGTGGCTGGTCCTGCCATCACGGGACCCCACAGGTGGAATGGGTCGTCATGGCCACAGATATCTCACAGGGAAAGTACCTTCCTCAGTTTTCCACCTTTTTTTTTAAACATTTTTAGAACTATTTATAGTTTATTAATGAACTCAGAGCTGTCAACACCCCAAATCTCATTTGCTCAGACACCTAAACTGTGTGGATTTTACTCTCACTGGGATCTCCCCACAAGCAGTTCTCCACTTCTTAAGGGAAGAGACCATGTGGGGAGTGGGTCTAGGATTGTCTGGAAGAGCGACTGTGCAGGAGTGACTGGGTTCAGTGCTGCATGTGGCCAGATCTTCGTGCTGGCAGTGAGCTCTCCCCTTTTTTTCTCCTGGCTTTTGGACTTTGGTCTTTGCTAGAGAAGCTCTGATGGCTTTGGCTTTGAGTAGAGCTTTTGGGCAAGGTGTTCCTCACTCCTTCCCGGTAGGGTTTCTGAGGCCACATGAAAACATCCTTCCCTTCTCCCATCTTCTTGGCTGGTCTCTGGGAAGGAGGGAGGCCACTTGCAAGAGGAAGGAGTGGGCGTAACTCTCTCCAGGACAAGAACTGACCCTACTCACTGCCTGGTCTCTTAGGCCCTTATCTCCTTTCATGTTAGACCAGCAGAAGTGGGAAAGAATGTATTTCATAATAGACAGGATTAATCTGATAATTCCTTTAAAACTTTAAACTTCATCTTTGGACAAGAAAATAGAGAGCTGTGTGGGTGTTACATGGTGAGGAGACTGTAAACCTTTTACTCTGCCTCATGGGCTGATCTTCAAAAAGCCCGTCATCCATTTTCACTTACTAGTATGTGGAGCTCTCAATTAAAAATTTTTAAAGAGAAAGATGGAATGAAATACCATGTTGGTTTTTTATGTATGAAATTCTATGATCGAAGAGTGAAAACTGTCAACTTAAAGATGTTCCAGAAAAAGAAATAGAAATCTGAGGAGGCTGGTGTCTGTTTTGGCTGTCGTATGGATTCACTGGATTGCCACTTTAAATTTAAACTTCTTTTCTCGGTGAGATAGTTACAACATGCAGTCCTGAGTATGAGGGGGAGATAAACAATGAGAGTGGGGTTTGGAAGGGGGATGGAGAGGATTATGTTAACTCCCACTGATTTCTCACAGCAGCCTGTATTTAGTGCATACAAATATCAATTATTAAGTGGTAAACAACAATTTAAAAAATGAACAGATTAAGAGGAATTAATTAAACTGATGTCTGCCTTTCCATTCCTACAATGCCAGTGCCTGTAGTCAGCCTCAACCTTTATGACGTCGGCTCTGCCACCAGGCAGGTCCAGCGGCAGCCAGTGGGAGGGGCTACTGGCTACACCTTGTTACAAGAACCCATCAACACCACAGAACTGACCAAACCCAAAGAGGTGGGAGATGTTTGTTTTCTTTATCACTAGGTCTTCTTGAGACCTCACTATTTTAGAGTCCTGATGGAACAGTGGTGACTTAGGAACTCATTTACAACTTTACTTGCAAAATAGAAAAGCAGATTAGATTTGTGGCCTGTGACACATCTAGCAAACATTAGCATGAAAAAGGAAAAGCAGTTCAGAGAAATGAAAAATAAAAGTTGTGTTATGTACATGTTTATGGACAGATGAATGGATAAAGATGTGGCATATATACACAATGGAATATTACTCAGCCATAAAAAGAATGAAATAATGCCATTTGCAGCAACATGGGTGGACCTAGAGATTATCATACTAAGTGAAGTATGTCAGACAAAGACAAATATCTTATGATATTATTTACATGTGGAATCTAAAAAATGA